ATGACCCTGCATTTATAATCAGCCATACAGTATACAGGATATATGGCCTAGTTGTTTATAAACTGAATAGACAATTAATGAATTACAGGAGAGAGAGAGAGAGAGAGAGAGAGAGAGAGAGAGATTTTAACATCCAATTCAGGTCATTTTGGGACTAACACTGAATTAAACAATGTAGCTGCATTTAATCAGCCATGTTACATGTATAGAGAATATATGGCCTAGTTTATAAACTAATAAAGAAACAACAACCTATGCCAACTTGCTGAAACAGCATATAATATTTTTGTTTTTAGACAAGATAATTTGTTTATACATTACGTTACAATATTCTAAATTCATTTCTTTCATATTACAAAGGAATTATCGCTGCTACTGTCCAGGCAGAATTTCCCTCATAGCACACTGTATAGCGTATTCCTCTCTGGGCCCAGTTGGAGCAGAAGAGTAGGATGTTAAAACCCATTTCATTTATCTTTTCTTAAAAAATTACATACATACTGGTATACAATTATGATCTCGACTAGAGCATCTGCTCCATTGACACATTTTGGACTGGTGATCAGTAGAGGAAATGAAATGAGTTTAACGTCCTACTGTTCTGCTCCGACTGAGCCCAGACAGCAGCACTACCGCCTACTCTTATATCGAATTTCAATTGCCAAGGTATTTTTTATGTGCATCCAATGTGTACGCGGGACCTCAGTTTTTCGTATCATACAATTGACTAGACAGCTGTTCTTGTCAGGTCCTCTGTCCTGCATCACTGACAAGGGGGAAACCAAGCCAGAAAATCCCAATGAACTTTCTCAACCAAAACTGGAATTGAACCCGCGATCTCCAGGCTTGTGAACCAGCATATTACTCACTTAGCCACTGTGGGTCCTGATCCATACAGGATCGGACGATCATGAAGAAAGGAGTAGGGTCGCCTGCCCAACCTCTTGGGTTTTCTCCACTGGATTCCTCCCACTGCTAAAGATCCCTACATGCAAGCAAGTTACAGAAATAAAATTGAACCATATATTAGTTCCGAAATGACCGAGTTTGTGTCGATCTCTCTCTATCATGAGGAATGTGGTTGAAATGGGGAGAGAATTACTATTCTGATAGTACTATTAATCACAAAGTTACTGTTTACATTTTATCAAGTACAGACACAGAGAGCTTATACAACCAATATCATAAAACAAAATAATACCATCTTTACAGGTGTGTGTGGTCTCTTTTGAGGTGTACCAGAATATTAGGTTATCAAGGCAAAGTCATGATAACAATAGCTATAAGGGGAGATAAATCATTTATTATCTTGTCAACTTGACATTAAGATGTCTGGAATGTTGAATATATTGCTTTTTGTTCTCAAAAGGAATCTAGAACAAAGTTACTGGAACACAACAAAAACAAACAATAGAAATGTTCCAACTCATTTACAGTCTAAGAGACAGAGAAACTGACTGACTGGAAATTTAAAGGTCACCAGAAAAGATTCATAAATTCTTTAAATAATGCAAGCATTTATATCAACATATCCTTTCCATAACTATAAAACGACCCTGAAAGTCAATGTTACCTGCCACAGGTAAATTTCAACGTTAACGATTTCGATCGTTCTCCGTGAGTAGTCATAGCTTTCCACCAATAAAACAGCCGTGATATCATTTTAGTCCTGCTGCTTATAGAAAAAATATAGACTAGAATATGAGCAGAACGACAAAAATGAAATCACAAATTTTTTATTGGCGGAAAGTTACGGCTACTCATGGAGAACGGCAGAAAACTACCTGTTGAAATTTAGCTGTGGCAGGTAACATTGACATTTAGGATTGTGTTATACTTATCGAAAGGATATGTTGACATAATTACTTGCATTAATTAAAAAATTTATGAAGCTTTTCCAGTGTCCTTTAAAATTTGAGTCAATTTACATGCGAGGAATACAATAAATACAACTAAATTTATAGTTTGTATGTAAACACACTTTAAAATATATGGAAAAATTTGATAGTGCTAAAACATGTCATGCAGTATTTTTTTTAGTGAGAAATCTCTTAGTAACCTGAATTAAAAAGATTTATAAGCTTTTTGTCCTAGAATGATACATGATCTTAATTTGAAGTAAATAATCTTAACAGTACAAATTAATTAACGCGAGACACGTACCAGGGATTGTAATTGGCCAGATGAAATTTAATGGTGAATTGAAAGGCAAGATTTATGTATCACTGTAAGGTCTGTTTGTTCAATAGATCTACATTTTTTTTTTTTTTTTTTTAAATGGGGTTTAGCGTCCACTTGACACAAACTAGGTCATTTCGGGACCAACATATTGTTTAATTTTATTTCAATAATTCGCTTGCGCATAGGGGTCTTTAGCAGTGGGAGGAAACCAGAGAACCCGGAGAAAACCCACGAGGTTGGATAGGCGACCCTACTCCTTGTTACGTACAACTGGGGATTCGAAACCATGCCAGTCGACTCAATAGATCTACAAGAGTATCCATACTTATTAAAGGGGCATTATGGAAGATTAGATCAAGGGCTGGCAGTTCTCGCTATAATAGTTAAAAACTAGATAATGTAAAGATGCATTATGAGGATTTCAAAAAAGGGAAATGACAAATGCATAAGGAAAACATGAGTTATCCTTCTGGACATGGGCAAATTTCTGCTCACTAATAATTCCTTCGAAGACCAAGACTGTGGGAGGATATCTGATAATTCAAAAAATGAATTGACTGTCACTAGATAAGAGAAAGCAAGAAAAATAGAAAAAGTCTGTGCATTTCCATGTTTTTATTATGTATAGAATGAATAAAAACAAGGGTATGTACGGCACTGACTATTTCTGTTTTTCTCGTTCCCCTTATTTAGTAAGATTCAATTACTTTTTTGAATTGTCAGATATCCTCTCACAGTCTCACCTAACAACTTTAGGTCTTCGAAGGAATTATTAGTGAGAAGAAATTCGCCTGTGTATCTGTTATCACTTGTCACTTCAGTCAGTTATATAGAAGGATAACCCGTTTTTCCCATTAAGTTCATCACTTCCCTTTCTTGAAATCTTCATAACGCATCTATCGTAGCAATGATCTCTGTGTTAAAATTATATTTGGAATGTGTTAACCAGTTCTATCACATATGTCATAATGCCTTAACGCCAATATTGTCCTTTAAGGTCTTTTCATGTCCAATTAATAATTTAGATAACATTTCAGACCTAAACAAAGACTTCCAATAGGCAGATTTAGCTCTTGAATAATATATGTTTAACTTGCATAATATAATGAGACACTTATTTCTACTCACTAACTTGCATAATGTTATGAGACCCTTGCACTCAGTCCACCATTGGACACTCTTCACATCCACTTATAATATTACCTGTACCAAATAACTTTCACACCTGGGATCTTACGATATTCTAGTGCTCTCACCAATATTCGATTTCAAACAGATTTTAACTGATTTTATAGTATTTGTTATCAATTAAAACTTATTAAATGTGATCTGTTTTTTTTTTGTTTTTTTTTACTGCTATGATATTTATCAGAAAAGTCATGGAAACTGAAAATGATGATGGATGTTCAAGAGAGGGGTGTTAGAGACAGAGAGAGAGAGAGGAGGAATGGGATTTAACCTCCACTCGACAAACTAGGTAATTTTGGGATTAACTTAAGGTCCAATTTCAGTGGGAGGAAACCGGAGGACCCGGAGAAAACCCATGAGGTTGGACAGGCAACCCTACATGCGGGGAATCAAAACAACGCAACTGGACTCAGTGGCAGATCCTATGACCCAAAACGCACACATTAACCACTCCCTGGATGTTTAAGACCACACCCACAGTGTGTGTAAGAAAGTTGTACAGCATTGTCAAAAATATTAAACTTTTCTTCCGACTGCCAAGCCTATAGGTAAAAAAAAGAAGAGTAAAATAGATTACCTGTAAATTTTCTGCATATAACATGCTTTTTAATACTTGATTCTGTCTTCTACGTGAAGCCTGATGTTCCATTACATTCTCTAGGTAAGTTAAAATATCTCGAACTCTAGTAGTTGCTGGTAACAATTCTAATGCCTAATGGACAGGAAAATAATAAAATAATACAGTTTCACTTCTTAATATCAGCAACACCAACAACAATTAAATTATTTTCTTGTTTTATTTAAAGATACATTATGTAAGATTTAGATAAAGAACTGACCATTCTTGCTATAATAGCTCAAAAATAGATAATGTAAAATGAATACATTGACAATTTCATTCAAATTACTTCATTCTGAGCCAAGTTATAACTATTTGTAATTTTGAGAAGAAGTGAGCAATGTGGTAACCAGGACACTAGCATTCCCATTTTTAAATTAAATTTTTAATTGCGAACCGTTCTAATCTAGTTAAAATCTTGAGTATCCGATGCCATCGAGAGTTGATTATGGTATTGTTTTGTTAATAAATATCTAATTAATAGTTTATATAACATTTCAGGCCTAAAGAAAGACCTGCAATAGGCAGATTTAACTCTTGCATAATGTATGTTTAACACATTATTTCCATATCTGATTTATCCAAGCTCAAAATGTCATTGGAACATCAGTAGTTTATACTGTAACAAACAGAAGATATTACTTTCAAATATACCTTACCTTGGTTGTGTCTATTTTCCATGCATGATTTTCTAATATTTTAAGGGATGCTGGCATATTGGGTTTAGCAGGAACACTTTGCCCGGCAGCCATACCTAATGTGGTAGGATCTGGAGGCTTTAGTAATGTTCTTAATAAATGTACAAAAACCTGAAGATAAATTACAATAAATGTACAAAAACCTGAAGATAAATTACAATAAATGTACATAAACCTGAAGATAAATTACAATAAATGTACATAAACCTGAAGATAAATTACAATAAATGTACATAAACCTGAAGATAAATTACAATAAATGTACATAAACCTGAAGATAAATTACAATAAATGTACATAAACCTGAAGATAAATTACAATAAATGTACATAAACCTGAAGATAAATTACAATAAATGATCAACAAAAGAAACTCAAGAGAAAAACAAGCAAGCCCCTAAATATCTCTTAAGGAGTTAAATTAAGCCCCTCAATTCATTTAATCCTTGTCTGCGATATCACCTCGGTGGAAGCGGACGTAAAATACAACTAACACACACACTCATTTAACCCTTCCTGAGCTAACCACTTTACACCCATACAGGGCTATGCAAATATTGAGTAAAAATCAAGCTTTAGACCCTGTTGTGAAAAATCATTCATACCTTGAATATGAATGCGACTACAACTGTAAAATTGCAAATTTATATCCATTATATATGACTTGTGATTTTTGCATATTTTTAGTTTAGATTTTATGGTTACTATGGTTACCAGTGGGTTTCAAAATGGCTGCCATATTATTGTCATATATGAAATATTGGATAATTTTTTGTCATTAAAAAATTCAAGATGGTCAGGAATAAAGCTATATGGATTATTACCATGATAGATATCTCTTTTGTAAGAATAGTATAGGTTTTTGGGGAAAAGTCACTAAATTGTGATAATAATGGGGTTTTTCTAAAAATAATAAAATGTAAATGAGCAGTATTGACAATTTTGTGGTAGACAATACAAATATAAAATCATCAGTAACAAGTTTTTATTAACAATAAAATAAAAATAAATTAAATATTTGGAAAATAACAATAATATATACCGAAATATTCACATTAGTGTTGCCATGGTAACCAATTTGACCATATCGTATACGTTTATATCGGCAGCGATCTACGTGCGCGACTGTATAAAAGCAGACGAATAATTTCCTCCGGAGAAGTCTTCCTTTTTTTGTGTCTTTACTTTGTGACAAACCTCTGAATTTTCATCAAAATAAGAGTCCCCACTAATAGTATAGTCACTACCCGAATCCAATATAGACGTGACGTCATCGGCATCGGGACTCACAGCTAAATTCAGCTGAAGTCTTTTTATTGTGAAGGACGCCATTCCTCGGCTGTTCTGACTATTGATGCTTGTTCCGTCAATAGAGGAAACCACCTCGTAATAGAAACTCGTGTAATACACCATCTAAGGTTAACACCATGCTTTTACAGGGGAGTAAACCAAATTAAATAAACTTCCCGACTATTGTCGGGTGCCGCTCTGACAGACTAAGGTCTGTCATTGAGTTAACTGGCGTGGTCTTGAATCCCCAGTTGTACGTGACAAGGAGTAGTGTCGCCTGTCCAACCTCATGTGTTTTCTCCAGTTTCCTTCCACTGCTAAAGACCCCTACGCGCAAGTGAAATTAAGCCCTCAATCCATTTGATTGACCAAAAATGTGATCATATAAAAAATATTCATTTGTGGGTTAATACAATAAATATTATTATTACAGAGAAATTCTCAAAATGTAGAAAACAACTGATACATATTTTAATGAAATAAATATCTAACGTCCACTCGACACAGGTCATTTCGGGACTAACATATGGTTCAATTTTATTTCAATAATTCGCTTGCGCATAGGGGTTTTTAGCCATGGAAGGAAACCAGAGGACCCGGAAAAAACCCACCACATACAACCGAAACGAAACCATGCCAGTTGACTCAATGACAGACCTTATGATACAGCGCGCACATGCTAACCATTCAGCCATCCAAGCCCCCTTTTGTGTAAAGGATTTGTGTATTTCTTCACGTAAACTGTACTTACATCTTTATTGCTTTCACTCTCGCCATCAAAATGAGAAGCACAGTACCTGAAATTGGAGAAGATTATAAAATATATCCGTATATTTGTCAACTTTAAATAATTAACTTATATGTGACCAAGAGGTTTGACGTCATAATGTCATAAATACCAGAACATTTTTGTGTAGGCTTAGACAATATCATCGTTTTATTATAATTTTTCAAGAAGAAACGATTTTTAACTGTCAAAATGTCAAACAGGAAGTAAACAAACAAGGATGTAACTCTCATTACTCTAGGAACGTTGCATTCGGCTAACCGGTTTTGTCAATAAAAGTCGTCATGGGTACTAAACGGTAACGTTATAGATGTCGACAAAAGTCGACTTGGGTCAGCTAACAGTTAAACAATACTATATTTTTTGTTATTAATATGTAACTAGTTGAACATCCCCATAGACAAAATATACTCAAAGTTATACATTTACATTTCTTAAAGTAACAATTCGTTATTTGCATTTTTCGCTAAAATGTGAAATTTCTCACGGCTTAAACCACGTTAATTAACAAATTAACGTTAATTAAGAAAACAAAATGAAAATACCAATGCTAGATAATCTCCAGGCATGGATTCAATCAGAATTACAACAGATCTACCAACAAAATGGCGACGGGCTTATTATATGGCAAACAGCATTGATATACTAATGTCCAAAAGAAAGTATACAGTGTGCATTTTGTGCTGCATCAACCAAAGTCGTTTTTCCATGGTATACCGGTATTTGGGTAGAATGTCAATTTGTTTCACAATTTTATTTTGCTTAGAAATGTTGAGTTTGAACGCAAGAGACAAACTCAGTAATGCTTTATCAAATGTTTTTAATCTAAACAAAACTTAGTCACACTTCTAGTGTGTATACTTTCTTTTGGACATCAGTTTAGATGAAATTAAATTCCACATATCTTTGTTAATGCTGAATAGAATTGAACAATTTTTGGGACTGAAATTTCTTTTAGATATTCATCTTTCACAATATTGTAGTTTGCAATGGATTCCTGTAGCGCTAAAATCACACATCAAGACTTCAAGTCAAAACACATGTCAACTACCCGAACTTTTTGTCACGGAACCGCCGCTTTAGTGGACATTGGTTAGCTAATATATTCGTATTTGCATCACAGAGCAGAACATTCTGTTGTGTTTCAGATGCTCTAAAATACATTTTGCACTACAGAAGCACTTAAAAAAGAAATATGGACTAGTCTGGAAACTGCTACAGACAATGTGAGAAACTAATTCAGGCTTTTTCAGACCTCCCTCTGTGTCCACTCGACACAAACTAGGTCATTTCGGGACTAACATAATGGTTTAATTTAGCAGTGGGAGGAAACTGGAGGACCTGGAGAAAATCCATGTGGTTGGACAGGCGACCCTACACCTTGTCACATACAACCGGGGAATCAAAACCACGGCAGTTGACTCAATGATAGACATTATGATACAACGCGCACACGCTAACCATTCAGCTATCCGGCCCCGAAAAATACAGTAAGAATCACAGTTGTTTTTTTCCTATACACTAATAATATATAAACATCCCAACACAACAATATCATGTAAAACATGTGTATACATATACACTGAAAATATTGTCATATATAACCCCTATTACTTGCTCACTATTCTACGTTAACAAAGTAGATTAATACTAATTAGTTTAATGTGGTCCGAAGCCTTCATAAAACCATTATGGTATATAGAGTTGTTTCCCTTGTTAATAAAAGGCCTTAGTCCTAGAGCATTCTGGGATTGGGTGAAAGTCAAGAGGGATGTTTGTTTTGATGGACTATTATAATAAAACCAATGCATGACAATATAAACACTTACTCTTCTGCCTTGACGGTATCATGTAAAACATGTATATATATTCCTAAAGCTTGTTCATGTCGACCTAATCTACCTAATAATATAGCTCGCTCTTCATAAAAACCTACAATAATAGAATGAAAAATTGATAAAATATTGTGATATCTATAGTTTTAATTAGAATGACAACTGGCTTTCCTTCTTTAAAAATACCTACTAGCTATTTAATGATAAAACAGATAAAAAATTGTGAAATGCATATTTTATAATTCTATGAATTGGCCCCAAGCATCACCAAACCTTTGCTGACCATTTAGCAGAAGTGTTAGCTAAGCGAACCTACCATCTAGAGGGAATCTTGTTAATAGTCGTTCTGGAATGTAACATTGTGATTTATACAGGAAACCAATCAGCTTCCTTCTATAATCACCCAATTCACCTGGTTCTTGTCCGGGATTGTTTGGTGGATGACCTGCTAAAACATAAAATACTTATAAACAGCCTCTATATATAAAATATGAGAGAGAGAGAAATGGGGTTTAACATCCACTCGACATAAACTAGGTCATTTCGGGACTAACATATGGTTCCATTTTATTTCCATAATTCGCTTGCGCGTAGGGGTCTTTAGCAGTGGGAGGAAACCGGAGGACCCGGAGAAAACCCACGAGGTTGGACAGGCTGGGCAGGCTGGGCTTATAAACAGTCTTTATATATAAAATGATATAAAATGGGGGTTTAATGTCCTACTTTTCTGCTCCAACTGGGCTAATGAAGACAACCAGGCAGTGTGCTAAAAGGTAATTTTATAAACAATCTCTATATATAAAATGATATAAAATGGGGGTTTAATGTCCTACTTTTCTGCACCAACTGGGCTAATAAAGACATCCATGCAGTGTGCTATGATTGCAATTTTATAAACAGTTTCAATATATAAAACACTATGAAATGAAATGGGGTTTAACGCCCTACTGGTCTGCACCAATTGGGCTAATGAAGAGGGGCATACACCATACAGTGTACTATGAGGGAAACTTTCACGTGTCAATATGTAGACGGGACCTCATTTTTTGTCCCATCCGAACAACTATATGTTGACCCTTGCCTAGTTGAAATAAAAACAAGAATATCCTACCTTCAGGAAGAGAATTAATATAATCTTTCATTAACTGGGATACATGACTTTTATACATTAATATTAAACGATTGTGGAAATCTGGAGTCTCGTTATTCAGATGTAATATCACATGTTCCTAGAAAATACATAAATCATTAGAGATGAGAAGATTACAACAGCAGTATCGGCCGTTAACCGCTACCAGCGAACCTGGTTAGTGAGTCAGTGACATGCTCATTGAGACATCGTGGCTCCACTTGTCATCTTCAATAGAAGGCTTGATCAACCTTTAACTCTGTACATCTTATCAAGACCTTTACGTAATTTCAGACAAATCTAGCAACAGCTAGATGTTGTAAAACTCACAGTCGATACTTCAGGAATTTGTTGTTTTGTAGGTGAGACAAGTAAGAATAAGCATCATACATTACAAACAAACTATCAGTAAGTCATTCGAGTAAGTTTTTAGAAAGAAATTCTATACTTAACAAATACAGAGTGGCCACCAAACCCCCCAAAGTAAGAATAGGTATCATATATTAATAATAATGTATATTTGTAAACATAACTGTATTACAAACATAACTATACTGAATAAAGTTTTTAGAAATAAGTTCTCTACTTACCAAATATTGAGTGGCTAAATCTGTACTAATATTCTCTAAATAATCTAAAACTTTATCACATGGTAAACTTTCTACTTCTGGTAAATCTTCCGTAAATATCTACAAATATATAAATTCATTAATAAATCTGGTTCATACCAACAATAACTTATTTCAAACAATATTTATATATACTGGAATTATATAAACCTTATTATTTCATCATGTGAGAGAGAGAGTGAGAGAGAGAGAGAGAGATACGGTTTAATGTCCACTCTTTAATGTCCACTCGGTTTAAAGTCCACTCGACACAAACCAGGTCATTTCGGGACTAACATATGGTTTAATCATATTTCAATAAATTGCTTGCACGTAGGGGTCTTTAGCAGTGGGAGGAAACCGGAGGACTCGGAGAAAGCCCACGGGGTTGGACAGGCATTCGATCATGTACCATAGTTTTAAAGTTTAGGACTGATAAAGTGAGAGAGTTTAACCTCCACAACACAATCTAGGTAATTTCGGGACTAACACATGACTCAATTTTTTTCAATAATTAGAAGATTATTCTTTTATAGATAGATGTGTGTACTATGTTCCATTAAGGTATCTTGAATGGTTTATGAGATATGCTGCAGTAATACAAATGGGATGGAAGGAAGGGCTAAATTTCAACATCTATTACTATCTTATTTTATATATATAATCATTTCTCATTATGTAAGACCATTTGTTGATAAAAAAACACACCTTTAAACCATCTTCTGGATGTTTTTTTAATACCCACTCAGAGTATTCTTTAATCAAATCCCAGTGATCGACTCCTGAAAACAAAAAATCAGAAATAGAATAAAACTTCTTCTAAAACAATCTAATCGTGACTGATCACCAAATGTTGTTAGTTAGGACTATAACATATAAAATTATCGACAAGAGAACTTAAATGTCAGTCTATTTACACGCTTCAAAATTAGAATTTTAGAATTTAACGTCAAAACACAATAATTACGGTTTAATTTCTAGTTTTCATGCAAAAAAACCCGCTTAAAAATATATATTAAAATTATATTTGGAAATAATATATTGCTAATATGAGGTTAACAAAATACATTAATATTTATTATGCCTGACAACATTTATGAAGTAAAAGCCTAAAATAGAAATGAAATGAAATGTGGTTAAACGTCCTACTGTTCTGCTCTGACTGGGTTGATGAAGACTTGCATATGGCATACTGTGTGCTATAAGGGGAATTTTGCCCAAACAGTGGCACTACATCCTACTCTTATATCAAATTTCATCTGTCAAGGGATCTTTTATGTGCATGCCAATTTGCGAACAGGACCTAGGTTTTTCGTACCATCCGAACGACTATACGTTCTCTCTTGCCAGGCCCTTTGACCTGCACCACTGACACCACGTTGGAAAATCACGATGAACATTCTCGGCCAACTCAGGGATCGAACACGGGAATTCCAGTTTAGCGAGCCAACGTCCTACTCACTGAGCCTCTGTGTCTCCCCCTAAACTGATCTGTCTATAAACAAATCTTATAATCATTTATTTTTCATCCTAGACAAGAAGTACAAATTACCTAAATGCTGTAAGTATGATACTGTTCTATCATGACCTTTTAATTGAGAATCGGGTCTGGCTGCTTGCTTCATTAACAAATTCAAAGCTGTAATATAAATTAGATTCTACTAAGTTTACTTGAATACTTTTGCAACATGATTTTCACTGAATTAACAAGTACCAGGAATGGCTATGATCTCATCGCAGCAATCTTGGAATTGCGACGTCACATCAAAACTCAAAGCCCGCCAATCGATGCACAATTGTCTAAGAAACAAACATATCAAGTTTCATGTTGATGTACATGAACTGGCAGAGCCTTAGACTTTTCTCAAAGATTGTTGCTCCCAAGCAGAACAACAAGAACAACCAACACTTGGGGACAAGTTCTGAGTCCAAAAAGTCACAACAAAAATGTAGACTAAAAGTTTCAGCCGAGGGAACACATATTAAAAGTCGACAATCAAGATCCGGCAATTGTGGACAATATCTATTTCACATTTAAATGTATTCAAATGATTATTTAACATTTAATTCAGAAAACAAAATCAAAACATTAACGCTAGATAATCTCCAGACAGCCAATCTCCCATAATGCCGCTTTAAGTAATTTGCTTGTGTGCAGCTATTTTTAGAAGTGGGATGTAACCGGAGGAACCACATCTTTAGGCCATCAACACATACTAGGTCATTTCGCGACTAACATAGGTTACAATTATATTCTAATAATACGCTTGTGTGTAGGTGTTATAACAAGTGGGAGTTAATTGCAGTACCTGTGTCATTAGGCAGGTCATTTTGGGACTAACATATGTTACAATCATTTTACTTCAATAACTTGCTTGCATGTGTAAAGGACCCGTAGAAAATCCACAAGTCAACCCTACTTTCTGTCAAGTGCAAGCATGGGATTGAAACCACACCATTTGACATTCCCTCTAAATAAACATTTCAACCCACCTTTCTGATGTAATCCTTTCTTCTGATATAAAATAATCAGTTCACTAAATTTCTCTTTTCTTTTTAATATTCTTTCACTTTCTTCTATATGACAATTATTATCTTGTAGTCGTAGTAACGGTGCTACCAGAGCATCATTAGTCTGTAATAAAAATATTGTTCTAGTATTTTTGTCAGGGAGGAAGTCCTTCAGTTTCCTCCATTTTCTTTTTTAATCATTGGAGAGAGAGAAAGAAATGGGGTTTAACGTCCAATCGACACAAAATAAGTCATTTCAGGACTAACATATGGTTTAATTTTATTTCAATAATTCGTTTGTGCATAGGGGTCTTTAGCAGTGGGAGGAAACCGGAGGACCCGGAGAAAACCCACGAGGCTGGACAGGTGACCCTACTCCTTGTCACGTACAACCGGGGATTTGAAACCATGCCAGTTGACTCAATGACAGGCCTTATGATACAGCATGCATGTGCTAACCATTCAGCCATCCCCCCCCCCCTTTTAATCATTGGAGTTCAATGGAGTTATCTACCATTATGCATTCTTTACTTTAGAGACTAGAAATTGAAAAAACATGAATAATTGATATACACTTTTCAATTGCCATAGGGTTTCTCCATTGAAACTAGCAAAACAAGCATGGAAAATCTGAAACAGAATTTCGAATAACTCTGGCCTCTAGATCGTTCACAAGAACAGGCATACGGACTGTGGGTCACTAGAGTGTTCACAAGAAATAGGAACAGATGAACCGATGGACTGCGGTAACAACAATATTAAAGATACAGACCTGAAGATAACATTTTAATAAAGTTGTATCTATAATCTGACTGAGTTGTTTTTTAGTTTTAATGACAGAATTTCCCTCCACTATAGCCGTGGTTGATATATCTTTATTCAAGTCTACAATCATTTCATTTCTTTTCTGAAAACAACGAAAATAATCAATTTTAAACAGATTTTTACGAAGGAAAGGGACTCAATAATAAAGTCTAGATGTGCTTTTGTTTCTAGGACACCATCTTGATTAGTTCGGTGGCGGCAGAAATCTTGGACGATCTATATTTCGTTTCGTTCTTTTATACTTTCGATTGCCTACACTACATGAAGATCTGACAAATTGTACTCGAAGGTCATGTCAGGTGTCGTATGAGTGGCTTTTGACCCTATGACGTCAGACATTGATTAATCAATCAGTGTTGGCGTTTCTAGTGGTTTATCCACAGTTCCATGCATGGCACACCAAGAAGTCACTGTAACAGACTGTTTCATTGGCTTATCCATCACTTCAAGCAAAACGTCAGTAATATAACAACTCTTCCAGATCCTAGTGTAGTAAAGAAAAGTAAAACAAAATTTTGAACTATAAAAAACGAAATGAAATAGGATCTGTGTTTCAACAGATAGATTCAGTGAACAGAACATTTTAGAGACACAATACTAACCTGCATAAGGAAATCAATCAAAGCTAGAAGACCTTTCTCTAAATCTCCACCCTCTAAATCAGGTAATTTATCGGGATATTCTAATTGATTACGATATTCTTGAGGTAAAAGGTTCGGATATAAACCAATCACATTCGATGGATCTACAAATCAGGAAAGAAATTTCAGCAGATAATCAAAATTATAATAAATTATTCAAAAGTAACAAGGATTTCTTTATAAACTATGCAAATTGCAAATTGACAGGTACCAAGAATTAGCCCATAGCAATGGATTATTTCTGGGCTTGCATTCAATATGGCATAGTTAGTTAGTCACTGGTTTGCTAACCAAGGAGGTCTCAATTTCGATCTGGGTGTCTGGATTTCCCTGAGTGGTTTTCCCTTGTCTGTGGTACAGCAGTAGCGTCCTGTCATTCAAATTGGACGAAAAACCCAAGGCCTCAGGTACACTTTGGCATGGAAGTAAAAGAACCCTTCACAGTTCAACGTAATAACTTTAGGAGTCTTACCAGTTCCTAATGTAGCAAATAAATTCATGGATTCTTCAAATCTATGTTGACAAAACAGATCAAAAGCATATAAATTCTGAATATTTCTAATTCTTTTCTGTTTCTCTAACTCTGGTTCTTCTGTCATTTCCTACAAAAACAAATTTCAAAATATTTTTACGATTATTCTTATTATCATTTAGAGTTCAGACACAGAAACCAATGAACCATCTTCATAGAAAGCTTGATCATCAAGGCCTTCACGTAATACCCTGCATATTTCGGCACAATTTCCATTGGGTACTCACCAGATTGAGAGCCTATCAGATTCCTTGATCATCGCGAATACCAAGTCTCGCGCTTTCCAGCTAAAATGTCTACCTGTGATATCTGAGTAGCTCAGTTCAAGGTTCATTCAATGTAAATGTTTCCGTGAAGGTCGCTATATTTGATATGAGGGTGTCAGTGTCACAACTTCTGATTGGACGCTACTGTTCACGTATATGTAGAAAATGTAGCTATAAGTTCGGGAACTGAAAATTGAACCATGTGTTAGTCATGAAATGACCTAGTTTGTGTCAAGTGGACGTTAAACCCCATTTTTCCCTCTTTCTCAAAGGCCTCAGTTTGGAATAGACACAGACAATGCCAAATATAATGATGTTCTATGAACAACAGACCATTTTAAAAGTAATACCGCAACGTTAGAATATATGCATCTCTGCTAATCACAGACAAAGTAAATTAAACAAATACATGTTCTACCTACCGCTAATCTTAAAGCTAATTCAAATTCTTTTCCCTGCAGTAAATCACGAATCTGTTGTGGAATGGATACAGAGGCTAAACGCCACACAAAATTAGCAGAAGCTACATACACACAGCCACTGAAATAGTCATGTTTAAACTATTTAAAATGAAACAAGATAAGGGCTACGGAGGAGAAATGAAACCAGGAGAATCTGGTCAGAAGTTAACTGTTCTTTTAGGTGTAGTCCACTGTATATATATGGGTGGTTCACAATTCTTCATCCCATGCGAACACTTCCCTTGCCAGCCTGCTGATGCTATCCTTGATAATTCAAGCTTCTTATCGGCGCGTGATGGGAACTGAACCCAGGAGAATCTGGTAGGATGTCAACTGTTCTTTTATGTGTACTCATTGAGTAAGATGTTGGCTCGCTAACGTGGAGGTTCCGTGTTTGATCTCTGCATTGGCCGAAAAAGTTCATCAGGATTTTCCAGCCTAGTTCCCCCTTGTCACTTGTCAGTAGTGAAAGTCTGACAATGGACAACATATAGTCATTCGGATGGAATGAAAAACCAAGCTTATGTGTACACATTGGCGTGCACGAAAAAGAACTCTTGACAGTAGGTTGTAGCCCTGCTGTCTGTGCAAAATTTCCCTCATAGTACACTATATGGCCTGTCTTCATCAGCCCAGTAGGAGTAGAACAGTAGGACGTTAAACTCCATGTGAACTATGCATCCCTTTTCATGCCAGCCTGCTGACGCTATCCCTGACAAATCATGGTTCTTATTGGCGCTTGATGTGAATTGAACGGGAGCAATTCTGCTCGGATGTCCATTGCCCTAACAAGTTGAATATATTGAGAGTAACCTACCTTCCATGACAGACAAATCTGGCCTTGCTGAGATCAATACTTTGTATTATTCTCTGAGGTTCAATAGTTCGGATTTCAACATATTTAGGTAATATGGCTATCAAATATGGTGGATCATGTTCTGTAAGACAAAATAAAAGAAATAAATTAAATCAAATGTCTTTATTTTATCATAGTCAGTAATAGTCCTAATATTCCAGACAAATAGAGATTGTCGGATCATCAACAATAAGAGAGAGAGAGAGAGAGAGAGAGAGAGAGTTTAACTTTTACTCAATGCAAACTACATCATTTCGGGACTAACATATGTTTTAATTTTAGTCCAAAAATTCTATTGCACCTAGGGGTCTTTGGCAGTTGGAAGAATCTGGAGGACCTGGAGAAAACCCACGAGGTTTGACAGGTGACCCTACTCCTTGTCATGTACACCTGGGGAATCGCGTTGACTCAATGACAGTGACAGACCCTATGATGCAATGCACAAGCACTAACCATTCGGACATCCTCCCCCCCCCTCCCATCCACAATAAGAAGTACCAAATGCATGTGGTTGGACAGTCAAACCCAACTCCTTGTCACATACAACCAGGGAATCGAAACCATGCCAGTTGACTCAATGACAGACCTTATGATACAACACACACGCACTAACTATTCGGCCATCAAGAATATTGATCCAACAATTATTAAACATGCATTATGCAAGAGCTAAATCTGATTATTGCAAGTCTTAATTTAGGCTTCAGATGTTATAGAAATTATAAATTAGATCTTTATTTAAACAACAAGACCAAAATCAACTCTGTAGACCCACGGATGGCTCGGCTACAGCTCGGATTTAAATAGGTTTTCACTAATTGATTAAATCAGATAAGGGGTAACCTGATGAAAATACATCTGTTAGATCGAGGCTAAATGATAGAGTGTACTTAGCGAGGCCGCTGTAAAGCGTTTCCGTATGCCATTGAAAACTTTACTTGATAATCGAGATATGTAGGTGGAGTTAACGCCTGTCAATCAAACGACCAGCGAAGGTGAAGACACAATTCGCTACCATTTCTAGGCAAATATTACAACGATGATAACTATGTTCAGAATAAAGTAATTTGACTGAATTTTTCAATATATTCTTCTTTCATCATCTACTTTTGAACTGTTATAGCAAGAATGGCCAACTCTCTATAAAAATCTCCCATAATGTATCTTTAAGTTCCCAATCTTTACTATTAATAACATGCTGCTTTATCTCATCAATCTGCATGGTTTTAACTAGTACAGCATGGTCAGGTCTTAATTAACAAATAATGTTACAAATAATGTTAAAGTTGACCAACTCTGTCAAGAAAATTTCATGGATTGTGATTCCTTTTATCTCCTTCCAATCTGATTAAAACACAGATCTTATTTCATTTTGTTTTTAATAGTTCAAAATTTTGCTTTACATTTACATGTCTTTACTACACTAGGATCTGGTTGATGTGAGGGATTAGCTAATGAAATGGTCAGTTGCATGGAACCGTGGGTATCCAACCAGAAACATCAACGCAAAGTCATAGAGAAATAAATGACCTAAAATAAGAGATAACAGTGGCTATGAAGACCTAGTTATCCTGAGTGTCAGTGACTAGTTTCATTTGTACTGAACTCTTCAGACTGATTGGACTCACATGGCGGGCGGTTTTATTTATACTATTCCGAAACCCCGTTGGGGTTTCCATGGTTATTAATTGGCGGAGTTACCGAGGTTGGCCTCTTGGCGGGGTTGGCCAATTTCTTACCAGGGTCGGTAGCTCGCTTACCGGGGTTGTACAGAGATTAGACGACTGATCATTTCGATTAAGTGCTAGTGTCCATAATTTTGTTAACTAGGATGCCTTTGGTTGCTTTGTAACATTGTTACTTGTCATAACAATAAAGGGATAGTATAGACATTTTTATTTTTGTTTCAGAAATAAATGACCACAGGAAATTGAAAACTTTCTTTCTGTTTCTTATAAAATTTATGGCAACATATCTTTTTCTTCCTTGTTTTTCATTTGTTTCACTTTTAAATAGTTATTATAGAATACATACGTAATGCAACTGGTATATCCGACCATTTTACAGGATGTTTCTGTGTTGGTTCACCCTCAGCGTTTATTAAGATTGACATTATATCTCTACCTAGGGCTAGCCGATTATCAGCTAACTTGGTGACTAGTGGTTCCAGTTGACGACTACCTAACGGAAATAATTCCTTTAAATCACCGTTCTTCGACTGAAAAGAAAGAAGGAATGGATGAAAATGATGTTAAAGTTTTTACCGGATTATCAAAATTACCAGTAAATGTGCTAATTACTCGAATTACTTGTGAAATGAAATGAAATGGGGTTTAACGTCCTACTCTTCTGCACCTAACCTGGGCTAATTGAAGACGGGGATACGCCATACAGTGTGCTATGAGGGAAATTTTGCCCAGGCAGCGGCGCTACGGCCTACTCTTATATCGAATTCCAACTGCCAAGGGATCTTTTACGTGCACGCCAATGTGTACACGGGACCTCGGTTTTTCGTCCCATCCGAACGACTAGGCAGCTGTCTTTGTCAGGCCCTCCGTTCTGCATCACTGACAAGGGGAAACCACGCCGGAAAATCGAGATGAACTTTCTCGGCCAATGCAGGGATCGAACACCCGACCTCCAGGCTAGCGAGCCAGCGCCTTACCCACTTAGCCACGTGATCCCCCCGAATTACTTGAATTACTTGTGTATTTCAGTCATAGACGCTTCTCATACACTGTACAGTACCAAACCCTTGACCATAAGAATTCACAATTTCTTGGCTATTTTAGAAAGCAGTTAAAGACTCATCATTTTTTGACTGCTTATTAACATTAACTGTGTTTTTGTCTGGAGAACATTAACTCCGATGTGCACAATATTAAAACTTACATTAATAAGAAAATAATCTCTTTTAAAACCAATACAAATAGAATCTTTACACCAAGCCATTGCTCTAGGCATGTCATACAAACTTAATTCATTCTGAAAATATAACAGCAATAACATAATCATAGAGAGGCAACAAGACTTATTTCATGAAATGTTGAAAAATATCTTAAACATTCAATTCAAAAATGAAACTAAACTTTCAGGTCTATAGGTCTATACCACTAATTTATCTGTACAATTTTTTTACATAATTTTTGCCACACTACTTATTAGTTACTGAGCGACGTTTCGACTAGGCTTCTCTAGTCATTAACAAGCAATGTCTAATATAGGTTGCCAAGCAACAAAACATAGGCTACACTCGTAGCATCTATAGAGTAATCATGGTTTGTTTCGACTCGGCTTCTCTAGTCATTATTATCAAGCAATGCCTAATATAAAAAGCATTCACTGACATACTTTTGTACCATACTATACACAAATAAAGCAAAATCTTCATTTTAAAACATGGGTTGCCAAGCAACAAAACATACACCCATAGCATCTATAAAGTAATCGTGGTTTGTTTAGAAAGGGGATAAACCATGAAAATTAAACATACATTATGCAAGAGCTAAAACTGCCTATTGCAGATCTTTCATTAGGCCTGAAATGTTATCTAAATCATTAATTAGACATTAATTAACTCATCTAGACCATAATCAACTCACGATGCCATCGCTAGCCTGTGATATTTAGCGGATGGGAATATATTTTTAAAAGAATAATTAAACGTAAAAATGGATAATCAAGACTTTTATCGTACCGACTTCAGTAATGATGACCGAGGCTAGCCTAAAATTCAAAAGGTAATATCTCGGTATGTTATTTATTTCAATCATTCACTTGTGTGAAGGGGTCTTTAGCTGTGGGCCACCCATCGCCCTTTAGACAGACAGTAAAACCAACAGACAGGGGTGACGACAATATATGACCACATTAAAATAAATAATGGTATAAAATAAAGAAGCAGGCATTTAAAAAAGCACTAATAACTATTTATCAATAATCATGTTGCAAAAACATATTTCTTCACTGTGAAAATAATATCTGTTGAAACAAAGAATAAAATGTCGTAAATAACTGAAAATAATAATGGGTTGTAAGGCATAATACAAGTAGTTGCAAGACACGCCCATATTTACGGTCCAAATGCTTCTCATCAAATTTGACAACAATCAATTACCATGCAGGACAAACCCACATTTTGCAAGAGATGGATGATGTTACACAGAAATTTCTGACAGTCAGATGAAATGAAATGAAATGGGGTTTAACGTCCTACTGGGCAAATGAAGACGGGCATACGTAATACAGTGTCCTATGAGGGAAATCTTGCCAGGGCAGCGGCACTATGGCCTACTCTTATATCGAATTCCAACTGCCAAAGGATCTTTTATGTGCCTGCAATTGTATACAAGGGACCTCAGTTTTTCATCCTACCCGAATGACTAAACAGCTGCCCTTGTCAGGCCCTCCCTGTCCTGCACCTCTGACAAGGGGAAACCACATCGGAAAATCCCAATGAACTTTGTTGTCCAATGCAGGGATTGAACACTCGACTGCCAGGCTAGCGAGCCAGCGTCTTACCCACTTAGCCACCGTGGATCCCTTGGAATATAAACATAAATTTTAAGTTTCAAACAGATCAGATAAAAATATCCACAAAAGAAATGTGAACAGGTACCTAGACAGACAGGGGCGACGATATAATACCTCCACATGAAAATGTGGGGCGCATAAAAATCATTCTAAAACACAAGGACATTCCGAAATAAATGCTAAATGCAAATAATAAGTCAACTGAAAGTATTTAATTTATTTATACCGTCTTTTGTCCATTGACCTGAAAATAAGTTCGTACATTTTATCAAACGGTTCCGTGTTCAGGTTATTGTAAAAACAATGGAATATGGATGTCACATAAATGCAAATATTCAGCTTTTACAAGCTGATTCAAATATTTACAAAATGAAATGAAATGAAATGGGGTTTAACGTCTTATTGTTCTGCTCCAAACTGGGCTAATGAAGACGGGCTTACGCCATACAGTGTGCTATGAGGGAAATTTTGCCCAGACAGCGGCACTACGGCCTACTCTTATATCGAATTCCAACCGTCAAGGGATCTTTTATGTGTGCGCCAATGTGTACACAGGACCTCGATTGTTGGTCCCATACGAACGACTAGATATCTGTCCTTGTCAGCCCTCCATCCAGCATCACTGACAAGGGGAACCACGCAAATATTTACAACATTAGTACTTGGGCATGGAGGACTCCTTAGGTCACTCCAAATAGCCGGAGTCACGTGAATAGCTGTGATGCCGCTAATAATCTATTATACAGACAGGTAATCTATCCTATAAGTCATAATTATATACTTACTAATAAATCGTAGAAATCGCGATTCTTCCAATAATAAAACTGAAATTTAAATAAAATAAAGTTGGTTTTTTTTATGAATAATCATTAAGATGCATTAAAATAAAGAAAGCTTAGACCTATGTTAAAATTGTAAAAAAATAAATAAGGTTTTTTTTAAGGTATGAGGCAGTAAAATAGAAATTAATATAAAGGTGTGCATGAGCAGAAACTTCAGCTGTGTTCTAGACATCTTGCATTTTTGGATAAGGTGTAAACAATATAATCATAAATCTTATTAAAATACAGATCCTATTTCGTTTCGTTTTTTATAGTTCAAAATTTCGTTTTACTCGTCTTTACTACACTAGGTTCTGGAAGAGTTGTTATCATTGACGTGATCTGGATGATGTGAGGGATCAGCCAATGAAACGGTCTGTTACGGCGAGCTTTTGGTTAATGGTTAATCAAATGTCTGATGTCATAGGGTCAAAAGATCTTATGACCTCTGATGCGACCTTCCAAAACAACTAGTCAGATCTCCTTTTAGAGCAGGGCATCGAATGTATAAATAAATGAAACGAAATATAGATCTGTATTTTAATCTGATTGTATAATCATGTAACTCTACAGTAAGTTAGATAGGTCCGCACCCATTGGTATTTGTAACCATAGAGTTAGAGAAATTGGGTTTAATGTCCAGTTGACATAAATTAGTTCTTTTCGGGACTAACAAATGGTTTAATTTTATTTCAATAATTCACTTGCGCATAGGGGTCTTTAGCAGTGGGAGGAAACCGTTGGACCCGGAGAAAACCCACGAGGTTGGACAGGCATCCATTACTCCTTGAGAGGATTTGAAACCACACCACTTGACTCAATGATGACAGACCCTGTGATTTTATGGCTTGGCAATAAGGATTGGGGCATATGAACCCTGATTGGGCAAAATTATGTATTCTTAATCTGAACATTTTTTTATATAGGAGCTTAATGTATAAATACACAAAAACAGAAAGGATGAGAATATTACCTGAGCTCGTCGTTTTGAGGTGACACATATTCTTAGATTATACTGTATTTTTCCTTCTAAATTTGTTGGTTTCTGAAACATTATATCTTTTATTTATCACCCAATAATACATTCTACAGTAGATATCGCTTGTCTGATAAATTTCATTTATTCTTTATGTACATAATTACTTCTTTTTACTGAATTCTAAATTGTCAAATCAATTCAATGTGCCAAATTTAAATGAGATAGAGAACCAATCCTTCTAGGGAATAAGCTGAGGATGATCTGAAGAATGCGTGAGAGAGAGTATAACATCCACTCTACATAAAAAAGGTCATTTTGGGACTAATATATGGTTCAATTTTATTTCAATAATTAGCTTAAACGTATGGGTCTTTTGCTTGGGGAGGAAACCCCATGAGGTTGGACAGGCAACCCCACTCCTTGTCACGTACAAGTAGAGAATTGAAACCACGCCAGTTGACTCAATGACAGACCTTATGATCTTAATCGCACATGTTAGACCACTCAATCACCTAGAAAATTATAAAATAATAATGCAGTGACTTACCTCAAGATCAACAGAGAAAAGAGTTGCTCCTTTAGTTTTATTAACAGTTGTCACCAGATCAAATGACATTAAATCATGAACACAGATCACATTATCTACAACACAACAAAATTATATTAGGCCATACAAACAACATAATAATATTCTGTTTCTCAGACAATCCTTACCAAAATCTGATGTGTGAGGGAGATTTTTATTTTTGTTCATTTATTTTGTCAAAGAATCAAGTCACTTCTGGGCTAAAAGAATTCTTACATTACATTTCAAGGCACTACATTTATTTCATCATATTGTTGAATGTATGATTATCTAGTATCATTCATGATTGTCAGTAATATTTATCATGTTTGTGTACACTTCAAATTTTTTGCTTCCTGTAACCGAGCAAAAATATTTACATGAGGCAATTAATTAGATTGCTTTTACTTTTTGTAATAAAAAAGGCCAGTCTGCCCTTTTTAAGTGACCTGGGAGTATCTAACAATCAAAATATTTTTTTTTATATGACCACATATTTGTTAGTGAATCAAATGGGTTAATAGTTTGTGTCGTGTTCACACTGTTAAGCAATCACTTTCAAAAGGCTCTATGTTTTGAGCTGAAAATTTCAGGCAAGCTTTTTGCTCTAAATCCTCTTTTACCAAAGGGTGTCGGGTAAAACAAGGGATTATCCACTTTAAGTCTCTGTGCGTCCATTTTGGACCAATTTTGAAATTTGAAACACCATAAACTTTACCTGATAAACTAATGAGGATGAATAACTCGGGTACAGCTTCCAGCTGAAAATAAAAATTCAATGTTCATTTATTCTAATAAACATGGGGGTGAGACTAAGAGAGAAAATTTGTGAATGGTTTGAAAATGCTGGTTCTACGTTGACTAAACACAAATTAGGTCAAATCAGGACCCCTTTTTTATTTTTTCAATAATGTGCGTAGGGGTCTTTAGCTTGACTCAATGACAAGAGAGAGAGAGGGAGAGAGAGAGGGAGATGGGGTTTAACGTACACTCGACACAAACTAGGTCATTTCGGGACTAACATATGGTTTAATTTTATTTCAATAATTTGCTTGCGCGTAGGGGTCTTTAGCAGTGGGAGGAAACCGGAGGACCCGGAGAAAACCCGGGATTCGAAACCACGCCAGGCTTTATGATAAAGCACGCACGTGTTAACCATTCAGCCATTCAACCCACACCCACCCCCGACTCAATGACAAACCTTAGGATCTAAAGCATCCAACCGTTTGGTCATCTAGGCCCAGTTTACTGGTATTTTCTGTCCATGTAATAATTTGTTGTGTTTAAAAAAAGAATGGGTAACAACTGACCTGTGTGATAGGTTTTTTAGCAAAGGCTTTATTTGATCTTTCTAAATTCACTTCAAATTTTGATTCCCCTGTAATATACATATAAACAGAAACAAATTAATATTTTAACATGAAGATAAATACTCAACAGCACCAAAAAGTGTCAAATAAATTTCTGATGAAAGAAAATTATATTAAATCATGGTTCGACTTAACTATTTCGATTATTTATAAGTAGCCAAAAGGGAATATTTCATTAATAAATAACTATCATAAGAATTCCTAATATTTCAGTTTAAGTCCAAAATTTAATTTTTTGTGTACCCCCTGCTCACAAAGTGGTATAGACACGTGAATTCACGATACCCTACGATGAATAAAAATCCTGAAATTTGAATATCATGAAATTTGCATTTATTTTGCAAAGTTTCATGTGTTAACAAAAATGACCAACAGTGAAAATTTTGAAGTTGTGCAGAGTATGCAATCTGTAATATGGTAATATGGCGACATATTCAGAAATCTTCTGTACTGGTATTCTTAATCAAGACAATTTGCAGGATCTCTATCTTTCAGAATGACAAACAAGAATTCCTACAACATCTAGACCCGGATAAGGTATATATACATAATAAATCTAGTTCTATTTTGTGCTTGAGCCGGCGACCTTACTCTTTGACACATGCAACCTGGGGATAGAAAGCAAGCCACTTGACTCAATGACAGACCTTATGATCTGAAGCATCTCTAACCAACCGCCCACATATTAATAATAGTAATAATAACAATAATGATATTTGTATCGTGAATCTATTCAATCCACTAGGGAATATTCTAGGGCAGGGCTTCCATTTCAAAATTTTCACTATCAGTCATTTTTGATAACGCACAAAAACTCTGCAAATTAAATTCATAATATTTCATGTTTTTTATTTATGGTAGGGTACCATGAATTCTCGTGTCAATACCACTTTGTCAGCATGGTATAAACAAAAAATTATATATTGGCTTATAATAATAATTTATTAATGAATTGTGCTTATTTGGCTATTTTTCAGCATGTAAAATGATCGATGAGTCAGATTTAGTTTCAGTCATTTTCCACAACCCTCAGTCTCAACCGGCATATATGGCCCACATGGAACCCATATTCAACTAAACATAATCTTTGAGTGGCATTTAGTGATTGAGCACATTAAAAAACACAACACAGCTGTTTATATGGAAAACAATCACTGGTTTACATGTATACACAAATAGCACAACGTTTCGACAAGTTTTCTCTTATCATTATCAAGTACAAATAGATGGTTTATACACATGTAGCACAACGTTTCGACAAGTTTTCTCTTATCATTATCATGCACAAAATAGACTACTTGTCGAAACGTCGTGCTATATGTGTATAAACCAGTTATTTGTACTTGATAACAATAAATGAATACTTGTTGTAACGTCGTGCTATATGTGTATAAACCAGTGATTGTTTTCCATATAAATTGTGTTGTCTTATATTCAACTAAACATGTCTTAAATTATATTAATTTACCTGAACTTTTAACTCTTTTCACTTTGTACTGAAGTAAATGTCCCTGTTTAGTTCCAACAAGCAGAATATCTTCTGAAAAATATAATCAATTGTCTCTTATTTATGTTCAACTCATTTCAAGGCAATTGTAATGGTAGTCTACAAATCAAAATGAAATGAAATGGGATTTAACGTCCTACTGTTCTGCTCCGACTAGGCTACTCAAGATGGGCATATGCCATACAATGTGCTATGAGGCCAAGGGATCTTTTACATGCACGCTAATGTATACAATGGGCCTTGTTTTTTTTTGTCTCATTCGAACAACTAGACAGTTGTTCTTTTAAACATCCATTCAACATAAACCTGGTCATTTCATGACTAACATATGGTACATATTTCAATAATTTGCTTGTAGCCTACACATCTTGGTTTACGTCTTTGGCTGTGTGAAGAAACTAGTGGACCTGGAGAAAACCAATGAGGTTGGGCACGGAACACTATTTCTTGTCATGTGCAACAAGCTCGGGATTATAACCAATCTGCATAAATTATATGTTACAGGGACTTACATTTAGATATTTACAGCTATTTTTGTCAATAAATTCGACTGAAATTTTCAATATATTCATTTTTCATTATCTACTTTTGATCTAGCAAAAAACTGTCAGTTCTTTATCTAAACCTTGCATAATGTATCTTTATTAATTATAATGTTGTTCTTATAGTAGGGTATGTAGTTTTCGTCACCAATCCCAACATCGAGGTGCATTCTGCTACAAAATCATCCATGACATTTTGACCCAAAGGGGTATTCTGCAATTCCAAAGAATGGAACTATGTCACAGATCTCTATTTGAGGGTTAAGGTGTAGACCTACCGTCCTCTATTCAACAGTGGCACATTCATTAAAGGGATCATCGCGATTTTAACAGTCTCAGAAATAAAAGTCTGTGTACGTATGAAATTTAAGCGCCAAAACATAGAGGAATGGTGTATTTATCTGTCTCAAAATTTCAGCTCAAAATATTAAAGGGACAATAACACTCTGGCTGGCTTGACAGCTTCAGAAAATAAAAAATAGCCTTATTCTAAGTACTAGATGTGTTAGTGTCTTACCTGTTGTGTAAATTATCCATTAAATCCTATTTTACTTGTCCAGAGGGTTCAAAAATATTTTTAAATCCAAGTCACATTTGAAAAGGTTTACGTTAGACGTTTCAAACCATTATGTTGAATTTTTCAAAATTTTTAAATAAGGTGTGTTAAGATGAAATTTGTATCATCAATTAATTGGAATATTGTAAAATAGTACAATTTGTTGACCAGAATAAAGATTGGGGCATATTATTCGGTTACAACAAGAGTGGTATTGAGCCTTTAAGTCGTTTGGACATGAACATCAAAACCACTTATCTGGACACGTAACCCTTTAAGATTTCAGGTCAATTTTTTCCTTTAGAGGTCTAGAGTGCATGCATGACCCCTGTGCCGTACTTGATAACGAAAGGTAAATTTCACCTACACGTTATTTTTATAAAATAAAAATTGGGTTTTATCCAGACACCATATAATACGGCTTAGGACACCGGTCTTCATTCCCAGATGAAGACTGGCGGGTTTATAGATGAAGACTGGCAGGTTTAACTTAAGTTGTTTGAAAAAGTATCATGTATATTGAGTTAGAGAATTTTAAGGGTTTTTAACCGGGTCTGAAAATAACGGTTTTAGATGTACATGTACCTGACAAAATGTCAGGCACTAATGACATATAGTACCGGTACCTGACATTTCAACTTAGTGCCTTACATTATCAATAAAAAAGACAAATCAGTGCCAGATAAAATGACCGGCACCAGAGGTTTAGTGCCTGACAAAGCCTGAATCTGTGCCTGACATTGTCTGTGACGGGTGCCTTATTTCCAGAGCTGCTTTTAACACAAAATTAAGCAGTTTTATTCTCCAAAATATAATCGAGATTGTCCCTTTAAACTGATATTCATATTCTGGATGACTGTCAAAAATTGTCCTCAACTGATTATCATTACCAGCATGGCTTCACCCATGATGTAATGACAACTATGTGACAGAACTTTGAAGAAATTAGAAATATTACAAGAGAGAACTACTTTCATTTTGTTTGTGGGAATATTTAATTGCGCAATCTATTTTACGCGACAAAAGCTTACACAGTGTTGAATGTGATTGGTGCGAATTTCTCGATTGGTCGCTATTTTAAAATAAAAAATAAGTGTACGGTATTAATAATCTAGCCTGTCACCTGTATCGCTGTATTAGCTAGAGTGACTAGAGTCAAGGCCTGATGACCAGCTGCACCATGAGTAGGCCTATATACTGCGTATGATTGCAAATCATAAACAAAAGATTTAGGTTATTATCTATCCTAACTGAGAATAGTGAGTCATTCTAGCAAACGGTTCTCTGGACCATGAATTGAATGGCATGATAAAACTATAACAAAACACAGGCCTACATTCTACTTAACTTACCATAACAAGCAATAGATTCAATCGTCAGTGGGAGTTTCTCCAATATTGGAGCTGCCTCGTATGATTCGTGCATTTTAACGCGTTAACATATTTCAAAACAAAATGATAATATAATCTTAACGGTCAGACAGCCCAAATTAGAGCTAAAATGTGCGAAATTGCTATTTCCCTAAACAAAAATAGTTCTAGCAGACACTTTTTCACGTGACCACTTCCTGATGAAAAAACTTGACTACATGGGAGGTAAATCCCGAATACCATTTCAGTCCTGTTTTCCAGTCTCTTCATCAATTCAATGGTGTAAGGGAAACAACTCCATTTTATAGGGAAATTGAAAAAAAAAAATGATAGGATTATTTATTGAGAAAAATACAAATAAATCATAAGTCTATAATGAAATTATATATTTTTGACCTAGTCAACCTATAGGCCTACGGCTCACCTTCATGACAGGGTCTCCTTATCAAGCCACACATAAGGGCTACTCTTGAATTCCAACTGCCAAGGGATCTTTTACGTGCACACTAATGTGTAGGCCTACAATTGATCTAGGTTTTTCATCCCATCCAAACGCCTAGACAGCTGTCCTGCACTACTGAGAAGTAAAAACCACGCCTGAAAATCCTGATGTATACTAGAGGGGGCCTATGGTAGACTCGTGGGCCCCTAAACTGGCTAAAGACAATAATGTTCTCACATCATGTGAGTGAAATAGGCTATTTAACGTCCGCTCCCACCGAAGTGACATATTCGGTCCCTTTTATACTTTGAGGTTGAATTTTGATGAATTGGTAAGATTTCCACGCTGCGCAAGCTAAAAACATCAGGATATATTCCAGAGAGTAGCCTAGGGTATTAAAGACATTTTAAAATACATCTGTTTATTAAGAATATTCTTATAAAAGTGAATATTTCTAGTATGTAATAAATAATTTGGCGCCCCCCCCCCCCTCCAAGAAGTGTTGCCCCCGTCCATATGCCCCCCACCTTAGCTACACTACATAGCCAAAACCCCTTTTCATTTCATTACATACCCAAAACCAAACCATGGACGATACAATATTCTAACAAGCTTTTATCAAAAGGAAGTCGTGCATTTATTAATTGATGAATATTAATTAATCATCTCTAACATTATTGGCTTTCTCATGATGCAGTTCACAGTGTGCTATGAGAGAAATTTTGCCGGGATAGCAATTTAATTCCAACTGTCAAGGGTTCTTTTACGTGTAGGCCAAAATGTACTTCGGACATAAGTTGTTCCTTGCATACAAATATCATGCCTTCACACTGATCAGCAGTGAATATTTGCTATGCTGCGACAATCACTAATAAGGATGACATCAATGCAACTTAATGAGCCATAAATATTAACTTTTTTCCTATGACAAATTAAATTCTAAAACATTTTTTTATGTATTAGAAAAATAAATAAAGACATTTGAAGTATTTGTAGGTAAAAATTATTTCCTATTTTAATGTAAATGGGTATTAAAATGAGTAAAAGGCACCATTCTGCTCAAATCTGTAACGTCTTATGTAAACAATGTACGAGCCATTGAGCCAATGATTGACGCCGCATGATATGTCGTCATTTGTTGAAGGCAGTCATCTTTTACAGAGATATTAGAAGACTTTCGTAATACTCTGTAAATCAGATTGCCATACCTTCCGCCCTGCACCACTGACAAGGGGACACCACTCCATCACTTTACTCATTATTAGCCTTTGTCCATCACATGGAAAGCAACACATCTGAAAAGCAAATAACTTTTGCTTGGTTTACATTCACAAATAACAACCAGATTCTAAATAAAATAAAACAATCCATTTTATTATCAATTGATCATGATCATATAAATTTACAACCAGTAATTCATTATTGAATGGAAGTGTATGATTTCTGGAATTTTAATGTACAAAATCAGTTTTTACAGGAGAGAGAGAGAGAGAGAGAGAGAGAGAGAGATGGGGTTTTACATCCACTTGATACAAACTAGGTCATTTTGGGACTAACACATGGTTCAATATTTATTTCAATAATTTGCTTGCACGTAGGGGGTCATTAGCAGTGGGAGGAAACTGGAGGACCCGGGGAAAACCCACGAGGTTGGACAGGTGATCCTATTCCTTGTCACGCACAACCGGGGATTCGAAACCACGCCAGTTGACTCAATGACAGACCTTATGACACAGCGTGCACATGCTAACCATTCGGCCCCCCCCCCCCGTTTTTATAGGGTTATTTATTCTATAAAGACAAGGGGGTTGGATGGCCGAACGGTTATAATTAGCACATGCATGCTGTATCATAAGGTCTGTAATTGAGTCAAATGGCATGGTTTCGATTTCCCGGTTGTACGTAACAAGGAGTAGGGTCACCTGAAATGACCTAGTTTGTGTTGAGTGTTGAGTGGACGATAAAACCCATTTCTCTCTATCTCTATAAAGACAAGATACTTGATGAGGTTATATTATATTATAACAGTATACAGACTAATAAACCTTTGGCTACACTGGACATTATACAGAGTACCCTATAGATTCAATAACAACTCACTATTAAGACAACTCTATTCTTCTTCTTTTATTTGTGTTTAATATCTGCTTCCACCGAAGGTTATATCGCAGACCAGTTGTCTTATTTTTATTTTTTTTGCTTATTGGAGGAAACCGGAAGTACCCAGAGTAAATTGAGAAGGCTATCTCCAAACCACATACGCTCACACCAGGAATCGAAACCACAGCTGGAGCTCTAAGCGTGACACTCTGGACCACTAGGCCATCCCAACACCCACCCTCAGACAACTTCACTATTAAGACCACTTTTATTTATTTATCAGCCCTGCATCTGGTCTTTATAGCAGGATTTTACTGTATAACAAACACTATACCAAATACAGTTTTCTACCCTAATTAATACCATTCTATTTTTTGATTATAAGACACAACCACAAACAGTGTGTTGTAATCCATACAGCGCTGTCACAATTTGTGTCCGTATTTAAAATAACAGGTGGGTGCTTGATTGTCAGTCCAAAACGTTCCAAACTGACAGAATTACAATCAAGATAGCACGGAATCGTGTCATTCATGCCAGATGCAGTATGAGGAAAGTCATAATATAATGTAATCATTAATCAATCATGTTAGCTAAGGTGATTGGTCGAGATTGTGCAATATTTATTTAGGGAATGGCTTGTCGCTCAGAATTCTTGTATTTATTCAACTGACATCTTTCATAGGATTGGCAGAATTCAAATTCTCAATCTGATTAAAACACAGATCCTATTTCGTTTCATTTTTTATAATTCAAAATTTTGTTTTACTTGTCTTCACTACACTAGGATCTGGATGAGTTGTTATATAAGTCGCATTCTGGTTAATGTGAGGGATTAGCTAGTGAAGCAGTCTGTTATGGTGAGTTCTTGGGTTACGTGCACGGAACTGTGGGTAAACCACTAAAAACGTCAACGCTGGTTGATTTATCGATGTCTGACATCATAGGGTCAAAAGCCGCTTGTACGACCCCTGACACGACCTTCGAGTACAACTTGTCAGATCTTTGTGTAGTGTAGGCCATCAAAAGTATAGAAAAACAAACGAAATATAGATCTGTATTTTAATCAGATGGTCAAATTCTGGAACGTTCACTCGAGTGCCCACCTGTTATTTTGGAATAACATGTCATTGTGTACAAAAGTAAAAACTTGGAGAGCATGTCTTCGGGTGTATTAAATAATTAACGTGCTCTAAAGAGATGTATTATATCTTTACAGAATGCCCTCTTGGTATTATATCTTTACAGAATGCCCACTTGGTATTATATCTTTACGGAATGCCCTCTTGATAAAGAGAGGTATTATATCTTTACAGAATGCCCTCTTGATAAAGAGGGGAATTATATCTTTACAGAATGCCCTCCTAAAAAAGAGAGGTATTATATCTTTACAGAATGCCCTCTTGATAAAGAGGGGTATTATATCTTTACCGAATGCCCTCTAAATAAAGAGAAATCATTTTTCTCATTGCAGATAATAGAGCTTTACAGCGACGTTCGCTAAAAGTCAGTCTTTTCTTTTGGAACTCCTATGAGGCGACTTTTCAACCTTCTGTTCTGAGTCATTTCTTCCTAAAAGTTCTCGCACAAATTTGAATTTAGACAGAAACATCTTCCACACAACGTACCAGCCAAGTGCGATGAAAACAATCACAATCATTAGCGATATAACGAAGGTGAAGATAGATACCACGAGGTCCTTCATTCTGATTTTGTATACATTAAATACAACTATAAACTCAATATACCATAATTATCTACTACGGTTAGGGGTGGGCGGGCACAGATCAAACTCAAGACTATTGAAATATCTTGTTCAATTACTTAATTCTTGATATTGAGAACAAAAAATACTTTGTTTATCTCTCTTCCAATTATCACGTTCAGTTCTATCATCTCCTTAATGTCTTTTCTCTTTTATTTTCAAATTAAAGGTTTTCACCAGTTTTCATAGGCTTATTAACTACTCAACGTAACAGTTATGGCACGAAACAAAACTTGTATTAGTATTAGTCAACATTGAACAAACAGTCAAACACTCCAGGGCAGTCCAAGAATTTTAGTTTCACTAATAACAGGAATTTATCATAACTTTTTTTCAGCATCAATTATATCATCGAACACCAAAACGCTTGAATTCAAGAGAGGCAATGCTTCTTTCGTTGGAAAAGTTACATTTGTCGATTCTTGAAAAAGGACTTCCAACATGACTTAACCAGTGTTTCCTGAAAGCAAATATAAATTTAAATTAATTAATTAATAATTTCTAGTTTTACAAGGTTAGATAATTTATTATGTCTTTATACTATGAAAGAAATATTTTGCCCAGGCAGTGGTGCTATGCCTTACTCTTTGTTGAATTCCAACTGTCAAGGGTTCTTTTATGTGCATGCCAACATGTACACACAACCACACCTTCAATAGAAGGCCTGATCTCGCTTTAACTCTGTACATCTTATCAAGGCGTTCGCTTACTACTCTACATTTTTCGTTACTAATTTCAATTGGGAATTTCAGACTAATCTAGCAACAGCTAGATGTTGTAAAACTTGCAGTCGTTGCTTCAGGAACATGACAAGACCATGGCTTTTCACCACACCTGAACCACTAGAGACAGTTCCTTATCAGGTCCTCCGGACTACACCACTGACAGGAGAAAGTCCCTCTGGAAAATCTGGGTGACATTTCTCGGCCAACACCAGGATCAAACCCGATACAACCTGGCTAGTGATCCAGCGACTTTTTCACAAAATATAACTATTAGCTTAAAAGTGTCATGTAAAAAGTTGAATATATACTATTCAAAAAAAGTAGGGGATATTTGATTTTTACGTGTTATTAAAGTCACCTAATGAAACTGACGAAGAAACAAATGACAAAATGAAATGAAGTTCACATTCATCGATTTATTCCAAATGATCGTTAGACTAAGTAAGGCACAGACTGACCATTATAAGGGTAAAATGATACCCGGGGTCAAACAGCAAAGTTACCACAGCATCACAACCAAGTCAGTAACGGGTAAATCCTCCTCTGTTTGCCAAACAAGCATTGATACGACATGGCATACTCCTAATGAGACGTCTAAGGTCATTTTGGTCCAGATTGTCCCATTCCTGTTGCAACGCAGCAGCAAGTTCTCGGACATTGGCAGGACGTTGTTGACGTTGACGTAACCTCTGTCCAAGCATGTCTCAGACATGCTCGATGGGGGAGAGGTCGGGACTCAGTGCTGGCCAAGGTAATGTGGTGATGTTCTGTTGTTAGAGGTAACCTGTAACGATCCTGGCCCTGTGACATCTTGCGTTGTCATCCTGGAAGATGAAACGGCGGCCATGACGTCGTGCGAACGGCACAACATGGACTGCCAAGATGTTGTCCCGGTAGTACTGGCCTGTAACACGCCCTGCAGCAACATGTAAAGCTGTTCTTCCAGCAACAGTGATGCCTCCCCACACCATAACAGAACCACCCCCAAATCGATCATGTCTGATGACGTTAACGTCTTGGAAGCGCTCGTTTCGACGACGCCACACCCTCCTACGTCTGTCCAAAAAATCAACAGTGAACCTTGACTCATCTGAAAACATCACATTGCTCCAGCGTCGATTATCCCAGTGTTGACGATCCCTACACCAACGACGTCTTGCCTGAATGTGATGATCTCTCAAACAAGGGATCGCGCGAGAACGTCGGGCGCGAAGGTGACCCCTAGGCAGTCAATTCCGAATCGTCTGGCCACTCACTCTCACACCAGTGTCTGTTTGAAGACGAGCGCTGATCTGATTTGCTGTGATGACACGATTTCTCAAGGCCAAGGTACGGATAAATCGATCCTGGGCTTGAGTTGTCGCCCTTGGTCGACCTGAGCGTGGTCTGTCCTGTACAGATTGTGTATCACGGTATCTGGACCATAGCCTGCTTATAACAGACTGAGAAACATTCATCGTCCGCGTAACAACCGCCTGTGTTGTGCCGATCTGTAGCATGCCAAGGGCACGTAACCTTTCATTTTGGGTAAGCCGAAGCATATTAAAATTTGTTTTCTGGTCACTAAAACAATTAAACTGATGTTTCCACCCTGGAATTCAACGCCACAATGACTGTAACATTCAAAGTCAGAGTCGTGCAAATCTTGGGTTGGACCCCCATGATGATCCCAAGCATCACCTGCATTCCATGCGGTAGCTATTGGTGCGTTTGGGCGTCACATGTAACTGGAAATGTTTCTTCTGTTAGGTTCTATAGTGACTTTTTTCGTAGTCATTTGCATATTTTAGTATTATGCCCCCAAAATCAAATATCCCCTACTTTTTTTGAATAGTATATATCTGCTCCTTAGACTTGGTAGGCCCAAAATCTGTGTGAAGAGCATGTCCCAAATTTCACAGGGTAAAAGTTCATACAAATGAATTATGCAAATCAGAAGCCATAATGTAAAGTAAAGTATATCAAACTTGTCTGAATGTTTCAGCTACTGAACCCTTAGATATTGAAAATCAAAATTGATGAGCAGGGTTACTTTCTATTATCTACACAAAGTCCATAATACTCTCTCTTTTTTTATTTTTTTATTCAGATTTGTATCTGAATAGCAATGGGGGAACAGGCATAGCCTATATTAAACCCCTCTCCATAATACCCTTCAATTTTGCACTTACATAAAATCTATTTGTGTTCTGTTTCCTTGTACTACACCTTCCACAGTCCCTTTATGGGTATTTCTAACCCAGCCTACACAGCCCTGGGCACTAGCTGTATCAACTGTATTCTACAAAATAAACCGATTGTATATTTATTCAAATATCACTGAATTCTTGGTTATTCGAGTTCTACTCTTTTAATAACATGCCACTATTGTGAAATGGGTAATATTAGTTCTTAATGAAATGAAATGGGGTTTAATGCCCTACTGTTCTGCTCTGACTGGGCTAATGAAGACGGGCATACACCATACAGTGTGCTATGTGGAAAATTTTGCCCGGGCAGCAGCACTATGGTCTACTCTTATATCAAATTCCAACTGTCAAGGGATCTTTTACATGCACGCCAATGTATACACAGGACATTGAATTTTCGACTCATCCAAACTAGTAGACAGCTGTCCTTTTCAAGCCCTCCGTCCTGCACCAAAGACAAGGTTAAACCATGTCGGAAAATCCTGAGGATCTTTCTTGGCCCAAGCAGGGATCAAACACGCGACCGCCAGGCTAGCAAGCCAACGTCTTACTCACTTAGTCACCGTGGCTCCTAATTTTGCACACAACCTAATCATTATCATGACAACAGCTGGCTAATTAATGGTTATAAAACTATCTTAAATTGTAATTTTGATTAGATACACAAAAAACTAAAAAAATCCTAATATAGCTACATTGTAGACCCATAGTGAAGTGAAATATACAATGTTAGATATCTTTTATTTACTACATGTATGCCTACATACCTGCCGAAAGAAAACTCCTGAAATAAATAATTTAGACCTATTAATATTAATTGTATCCTAATGAAATGTAGTAATAAAATTATTGATTTATGAATTTTAAGTGATTACTATATGGTGTTGAAAAGTGGAAAATAAAATCGTAAACAACTGCTTAGTCCATCTAGCATACTTTTTTCATTATTGTTTTGTTGTTTGTGAATCAGATATTACTAATTACTTCCACATTTTATGTAGGCCTATTTTTTTGTTCATTACAAATGGCACTCGAAACCATAAAGTACATGACTTGTGTACTGATTATAAAATGTTAACTGTGGCTATAATTTGAGTTTGCCAGGAAAACGCATTTGCGGCCGTCAAATTTTCTTGGGTTAGGGGTAGGGGGTCATTTGCCTCTTGCAGACGTCCACTGCCGTCTGTAACCAGAACTTTTATCAGACATTTCAGGTTCTGCCCCGTTAACATTCATCCAGCCTATACACCTGTAGTCGTTTTTAATCATTTTTGCACCAATTTGGTTGTTGTTTTATGTTTAGCCTTTATTTGATTAATAGGCCTAGTCTCTAAATGATCTAGTTTGTGTTGAGTGGATGTTAAACAACATTTCTCTCTCTCTAATTTGATTAATGTAGACTTATTGTTGAAATATTGTTCCACCAAATATTACTTTCTATTCATTTATTTTCCTTGTTTTTGACTCTTAAAAATACAAGATTATTAATGACTGCTACAGTAGATCTACTAATATTCCTAGAGTAAGAGAGAGTAAGAGAGAGTAGAACTAGAACTTTCTGGGTCTTTTAAAACTTTCAATAAAAGCCACTAATTTGGTTTAGCTCAATACCTTGAACTTGGCCAAACACCTCATAATTAACAGATAACAACCCCCCTGACATGATTACATCAGATAAACAGTGATATAAGCAAATTAGAAGGTTTAAAAGAAAATTCCAAATACTTAAAAATAATGTTTTGATTCGTTTAGTCATTCTACCTGAGAGTTATCCGCCCTATACCACACCAAAAATCGCAAAGACAGCAATTTTTATTGGATGATATTTATTGAATGACCAATCAGAGACCATTTCACATTTTTACGTCTTGTTTTGACAAAATGGCGACTTTTCTTACTTGCTTGTCATGATTGCAAACAAAATATAAAAAGGGACGGTTTACTAACATATGGACAGTAAAATGGAGAGTCTGGGGTTTGAGCCCCAAAAGGAGTCAATCTATAACGAACTTCTGCCTTACCATGAAACGATTGTCAAGGAATCGGTGGAAGTTTTGGCAGAAATTAAAGGTGAACTTGGTCGAGCAGTGGAATTGAGGAATATAAAATATGGTGCCAGTCACTGGGCTGACCAGCTGTCAAGGTATAAAAGTGGCAAATTGTTTCTAATGAATGATTAGATTGAATTTTTAATACTCTTTTCATTTATCCTGTACTGATTATAAATGTCTTAAATGTTGGATATTTTCACGGCAAGATAACAACATCAATATTGATTGAAATGGACCAGTATTGTTGTAGTGGAGGCTACTTGTAGCCTCTGAAAATTACATAAACTGTACACTCTTCCCGTCCAACATTATTAATGTTATTTAAAGCATTTATTGTGTTATGGTTGATGAATTCGGTGCTAGGCTTTAGCATTGTCCATCGGTCACATTGGCTGTATCGCAGGTACATGTTATAAACATAACACCTTAACGGCCATAAACTGAAACGGCCAAACACTTCAGTCAAATGTCAAAGTTCAGCTCATATTACATAATAAGTAATAGCTAGAAGAGTGTGAAGTAATTGGGGATTAACCAATCAGTTGAAAAACATAATGTAATTTTCTGGGTTTAACTAACACTAACCATTTTAATTGACTATAATGATTAATTGTTATTTTTATCTTATCTGATTTAGCAATATAGCTTTTAATTCATTGTGTTGATTAGTTGAAGCCATTTTTAAAATTGTTATTTTTATCAAATAAATGAGAATCAGTTGGTATTTATACCCCCCCCCACCCAAAACAAATTGATATTTTGTAACATTTTAAACTAAAGTTTTAGCCGTTTTGACCAAAGTATGTCAGTTTTAAAAAACATGGATGATTTTTTAAAATACTGGTACCCCAATAGCTAACAGTAAATAAAGGTGATTATGCTAGATTTATTTTTTTTGTTTAGGTATATTCGTATATATGGATATAATTTTTCCAAGGAAGATCATGTGACTTTAGTACATCTCATGTTTGAGTTGACAACAATACCAGAATTAGAGCTGTCAGCTGTTCAAAAATTTGCTGGAAAATTGTCAACTTTACTAAAGTAAGTTATATAGTTTTGGGTTACATCTATTTTTCCTAAAGCAGGGTTTATGGGTCAAATACAGATTTGCTGGTGTTAGTCTATTGCTAGTCTTGTAGCAGGTGTTTTTGATTAGCATAAATTGGGGTAAAATAAAACAAACGGATTAATGATTAAAAATCACTTTTTTTTGATGATGGAGTGAAAATAAAAAATGAAATGAAATACATGTAGGGTTTAAAGTCCTACTGTTCAGCTCTGACTGGGCTCATTAAGAAGGGCATATAGTTTGCAATGAGGGAAATTTTGACTGGACAGCTGCGCTATGGCCTACTCTTAATCTTATATCAAATTCCAACCGTCAAGAGATCTTTTTCATGCACACCAATGTATACAGGGGACATAATATTGGTTTTTCGTACCATCCGAACGACTAGACAATTATCCTTGTCAGGCCCTCCGTCCTACACAACTGGCAAGAGGAAACCATGCTGGAAAATCCTGAAGAACTTTCTCGGACATCACCGGGAGTGAACCTGTGACCAGCATCTTACTCACTTAGCCATCGTGGCTCCAAGATGAAGTGAATATATCTTATATATATGTACTACATACCAGGTATTCTACTTCCTTGAGACAGAGCGCTCTAGAGTAGAAGTCTTGTTCATGAGACCTTATTACCTTCAAATGTTTAAAATGCAATAATATCGAAGATTCAAATGGATATTTTGGTTTTAAAATACTTTAAGACCAGACCAGATTCAACACAAAGTTTAACAATAGAAAATGAAAAATAAAATATGCATTATTAAACTTAAAGGCAACATGAACAGTACTTAAATCAGGTTGTGAGGATATGTTAAACTTTAATCATTTCCTTTATGTTGATTTGATGTGATATTAATCCGTTGGGGGCATTTGAAATTTATGGTATTAAAGAGGTATTAATCAGTTGGGGGGGGGGGGGTCTTTTCAATTAATAATTACAAGTTCTAAAATAAGATGAATCTAGGCTTTTATGGAATATTTGTTTATACAGTATTTATTTCAAAGATATAAAATTTAAAGGCATTAAAGAGTAGGATATACAATTTAAAGGCATTAAGAATAGAATATACAATATAAAGGCATACAGAATAGGATATAAGAACAATCTAAAGAGACCCTTAAATTTACTTCCTTGTGGTCTATAATATATGTACGAGTCAATGTAATATATACATGTAGACAGTGATGACAGATTGGCCAGATATTGGTCCAAAGGTTGACCTTTTTGCTGCCCCATGTCACAGTCTACCAAGTGAAATTATTAATTTGCCAAATTTATAAAATGTATAAAACAATAGTTAAAGGCATCATTATATTAATATTAATAGGGGGTCACAGTGGCTAAGTGGGTAAGACGCTGACTCGCTAGTCTGGAAGTTGGGTGTATGATTGCTGCATTGGCAGAGAAAGTTCATCCAGATTTTCCAGCGTGGTTCCCCCTTGTCAGTGATGCAGAACGGAGGGCCTGAAAAGGACAGCTGTCTAGTTGTTTGGATAGATAAAAAAACCAAGGTCCTGTGTACACATTCACATGCACTTAAAAGATCCCTTGACAATTAGAATTCGATATAAGAGTATGCCATTGTGCCGCTGTCCGGGCAAAATTTCCCTCATAGTACACTGTATGGCGTAGGACATTAAATTCCATTTCATTTATTATAGATACATTATATAAGATTTAGACAAAGAGCCGACCATTCTTGCTACAATGTATAATAGTTCGAAAATAGATAATGTAAAATGACTAATTTGAAAATTTCATTCAAATTACTCTATTACGAGCTAAGATATTGTGCAATAATTTCAACCACCATACTGGTTGTTCGAAGCTAAGTCTCGCTCCTCCATTTTTAGCTTAAATCAAAATATGGCTAAACTGTTCTAATTTATTTAATATCGGAGAAATCTGATGCCATCGAGAGTTGATTATGGTCTGGGTAAGTTAATTAATGTATTTTTAATAATTTATATAACATTCCAGGCCTAAAGAAAGACCTGCAATAGGCAGATTTAGCTCTTGTATAATGTATGTTTAATATTAATAATATTGAGGACATTGTATTGATTAATGAATGTGTAAGATAAAGATACATGTTTAATGTTATAATGGTTATTTACAGTATATTTAACAAGTAATGTAATCTGATCAAATGCCATCTGTCACTCTGTAATTATGTTTTGCAATAACTTTATCATAAATTATGTATTTTGTATTTTATAATATTGTCGTGCCCACCCATCATTTATCGTAAAGGAAAACACACCTGATTTTAAGGATGCAAATGTTTCACCTTATAATTGACCCCAAAATTTGAAAGATAAATATGTTCTTCAGATAATTATGAATTTATTTACATATTAATAGTTATATTTTCCCTTTAAAGGGAGCCACAGTGGCTAAGTGAGCAAGACTCTGGCTCCCTAGCCTGGAGGTCGTCTGTTCAATCTCTGCTTTGGCGGAGAAAGTTCATCAGGATTTCGCGACATGGTTTTCCCTTGTCAGTGGTGTAGGACTGAGGGCCTGAAAGGACAGCTGTCTAGTTATTCAAATGGGACGAAAAACCAAGGTCCCGTGTATACATTGGAATGCACATAAAAGATCCCTTGGCATTTGAAATTGTATATAAGAGTAGACCATAGTGCCACTGCCCGGGCAGAATTTCCCTCATAGCACACTGTATGGCATATGTCCGTCTTCATTAGCCCAGTTCGGAGCAGAACAGTAGTACGTTAAACCCCATTTCAGTTCAGTTCAGTATCCCTTTAAAAGTAGAAAACTGTGCAAGATATCAATGACATTTTAATATTTATTACATTAAAGGACAATATTGGTGTCATTCATTATCACATATGTGATAGAACTGGTTAAGCACATTCCAAATATAATTTTAACACAAAGTTCATTGCTACGATAGATGCGTTGTGAAGTTTCCAAGAAAGGGAAGTGACGAACACAAAAGGAAAACACGAGTTATCTTTCTATATAAATGATTGAAGTGACAAGCGATAACAGATACACGGGCGGATTTCTGCTCACTAATAATTCCTTCGAAGACCAAAAGGTGTTACAGTATGTGAAACTGAGAGGATATCTGATAATGTCACTAGACAAGGGAAAATGAGAAAAATAGAAATAGTCCGTACATTCCCTTGTTTATATTCATTCTATACTTAATAAAACATGGTAATGCACAGATTTTTCTATTTTTCTCGTTTTCTTTTATCTAGTGACAGTCAATTACTTTTTTTGAATTGTCAGATGTCCTCCCACAGTCTCCTATAACAACTTTTGGTCTTCAAAGGAATTATTAGTGAGCAAAAATTAGCCCGCAAATCTGTTATCACTCGTCACTTCAATTAGTTATATAGAAAAATAACTCATGTTTTCCTTTTGCGTTCGTCACTTCCCTTTATTGAAAGCTTTATAACGCATCTATCATAGCTTTGATCTCTGTGTTAAAATTATATTTGGAAGTGTTTAACCAGTTGTATATGTAATAATGACTGACACCAATATTGTCCTTTAAATATAGTCTATGTGTTTTCTGGAAACTGAGATATCATCAACTGTTGCAACTCTGCTTTTGTCATCCTGTACTATTTCTGATTTGAATTTGTCTTGAGTGGTTGCATATTAAGA